CACCCAGGGATGACTAAGTATAGGAGAGGGAAGAGTCCAACTTCAGGCTAGGATGAAACCACAGGGTTTGGTATAAATCCTCTGGAAAACAAAAATTCTTCTAGAAACTAAAAACTAGCAGCTGTAAGTTTGGACAATATTTATTTCCTGAACACAGGAGCCTGGAAGGTTGTCATGTGTGTCTCTTCTCTGCTCCTTTCTCTGCCCACTCTATCACCCCTACATCGAATCACTTACCAAGCACCACCAATTCTCCATCCATATTCTCTCTTCCATCTCTTCTTCTTTCTGTCACTCTAATTCCACTATGTGCTTAATGACCGAATGACTGCAGCAACCTCCTGCCATGGTGCCATGTTTCCTCTCTCCCCTCTTCAACCTACACCTGAATTCCTTGAATGGAAGGCTAGGGACCTGGCTGCTCTGCAGGAGGCAGAGGTCAAGGAGGTGAGGATGGCTCGCAGCTGGGGAGGAAAGCCTGCAGTGAGAGCCTCGAACACAGGACTAAGCCATAAGTCATAGGGAGGGGGCATACGGTGGGTCAAGGTCAAGTTTGGAACTAACTGGAAAGCAGAGTACATGAAAAGCTAGGGTTAGTGCTGTCAATTGGAAGCCGTCAATCATGCCAGGTACCAAGGACCACAGCTTGGTTTTTGTTGGGGCCAGTTGTATGTGGAGGGGGACAGAACTGCCAGGCAAGGGGAGACACACAGGGCCAGTGACCGCACAGCAACTCCAGTGAGATGTCTTCTTCCAGGGCCCAGTTCACTCAGCCTCCTTGTGCTCCCTGAAGCAATCTTTAACAGTGCTCTCAGCTGCACCCGCTTCTCTCAGGCACCCTCTATCCCTTTTGCTCCCTTTGCCCTGTGCCTAACCCACAGGGCAGACTGTAGAAGCTGCACAGGCTTTGCAGCCAGACCAATCTAAGACTAAAGCGTATCAATCAATAGGATTGGTCAACTTCCCTTGGCCTCAGCTTCCTCAGAGAGAATGAGAGTATACAGGGCACATGCCAGATGTAGAATGAAGTCTCAATAAATAGGCCTTTTTTATTTTTCAGAGACAGGGTCTCACTCTGTTGCCCAGATTGGAATGCAGTGGTACCGCCATAGCTCACTGCAGCCTCAACCTCCTGGCCTCAAGCAATCCTCCTGCCTTTGCCTCTCAAAGTGCTAGGATTATAGGTGTGAGCCACTTGCGCTGGGCCTAGTTCTTTACGCAACAAATATTTACAAAGAACCTAGTGTAAGCCGAACACCCTACCAGCTGCTGGGGATACTATGGTGAGCAGAACCAGACATGTTCCCTGCCCTCATGCAGCTTCCAGTCTAGAGAGGAAGACTGACATTAATTTGTAACCACTGAAGTAATGGCCAATTAACAGGTACAAAAAGGGCTATGGGGGCTGAGAATGTATATACTTGAGAGATTTGGTGATTCTGAGAAATCAGGAATGCCATCTTCAAAACCCTGCTCAAAAGCCTGACCTAACTCCTCCCAACTGGAAGTGAGCCTATTGGCTTGTAAATTCTCAGCAGGATGCATGCATCCTGCAATTGACACTTAGCTTACTGTATTGTGTCTAGTATTTTCACCAGTGGTGTACACATCCTGTCTCCTTTGCCAGATTGTAAACTATCCGGAATTGCAGATCCAAGATGGCCGACTAGCAGCAGCTCAGGATTGCAGCTCCCAGTGAAGGTGAAGGGAGTGAGTGGATGCCAGACTTTCAGACGAATTTTTGTTGCCTAGGGACCAGTAGATTCCCAGCGAAGGAGCCCCATAGGTCGCCAGTGGGACTCTTTTGGCCGACACAGCTGTTTTGACAGCGTCTTGGCGCGGTGGTTCTCAGTGCAGAGTATGCAGGACTGGGTGCCCTTTTAGTTGGCATTTGGAGCTCTGGGAAGGCGAGGTCACCCATTCAGCTGATTGAAAGGCGGACTGAGGCCAGGAGCCAGACCGGGAGATTCCCGGGCAGAGAAGCACACGAATCTCAGCGCCGCTGTTTCAGCCGGCGCAGTCACCACAGGGGAAACTACATAGATCCAAGAGCCTTTTCGGTGGGCAACTGGGGCACCTGGGAGAGAATCAACTGTTCAATTAGGAAAAGAAAAAAAGGGGGCTCCGAGGCAGGGAGCCAGGTGATCGGGCTCGGCTGGTCCTACCCCCACAAAAAAACAGCAATTGGAAACATCGATGGTTGAGAGTTTCACAGCAAGCACAGCTGAACCCAGGAAGGTCCAGCTATGTGGGGGAGGGGCGTCCTCCGAAGGAAAACAAAGAAACAAAAATAACATCACCACCAACAAGCTGGACGTCCACTCAGAGACCCAATCTGAAAGTCAGCAATTACAAAGACGACAGGTGGATAAATCCACAAAGACGCCAGAATGCCTCTCCTCCTTCAGGGAATCGCAGCTCCTCATCAGCAAGGGAACAAGGCCTGATGGAGAATGAGTGTGATGAATTGTCAGAATCAGGCTTCAGAAGGTGGATAATAAGAAACTTCTGAGAGCTAAAAGAACATGTTCTAACTCAATGCAAAGAAACTAAGAACCTTGAAAAAAGATTTGACGAAATGCTAATGAGAATAGACAATTTAGAGAGGAATATAATTGAATTAATGGAGCTGAAAAACACAATACAAGAACTTCGTGAAGTTTGCACAAGTTTTAGCAGTCGAATTGATCAAGCAGAAGAAAGGATGTCAGAGGTCAAAGACCAACTCAATGAAATAAAACGAGAAGAAAAGATTACAGAAAAAAGGATAAAAAGGAATGAGCAAAGTCTCCAAGAAATATGGGACTATGTGAAAAGACCTAATCTACGTTTGATAGGTGTACCTGAATGTGACGAAGAGAATGAATCCAAGATGGAAAATGTTCTTCAGGATATTATTCAGGAAAACTTTCCCAACCTGGCAAGGCAGGACAATATTCAACTCCAGGTAATACAGAGAACACCACAAAGGTATTCCTCAAGAAGAGCAACCTCAAGGCACATAATTGTCAGATTCACCAGGGTTGAAATGAAGGAGAAAATGCTAAAGGCAGCCAGAGAGAAAGGTCAGGTTACCCACAAAGGGAAGCCTATCAGACTCACAGCAGATCTCTCAGCAGAAACCCTACAAGCCAGAAGAGAGTGGGGGCCAATATTCAACATCCTTAAAGAAAAGAACTTTCAACCCAGAATTTCATATACAGCCAAACTAAGCTTCAGAAGTAAAGGAAAAATAAAATCTTTTGTGAACAAGCAAGTACTCAGAGATTTCATCACCACCAGGCCTGCTTTACAGGAGCTTCTAAAAGAAGAACTACACATAGAAAGGAACAACCAGTATCAGCCATTCCAAAAATATACCAAAAGGTAAAGAGTATCAGTATAATGAAGAATCTACATCAACTAATGGGCAAAACAGCCAGCTAGCATCAAATGGCAGTATTAAACTCACATATATTATTATTAATCCTAAATTTAAATCAACTAAATGCCCCAATCAAAAGACATAGACCGACAAATTGGATAAAAAGCCAAAACCCACTGGTATGCTGCGTCCAGGCCCATCTCACATGCAAGGATACACAAAGACTCAAAACAAAGGGACAGAGGAAGATTTACTAACCAAACGGAGAGCAAAAAAAATAAATAAAATAAAAAGCAGGAATTGTAATTCTTGCCTCTGATAAAATAGATTTTAAAGCAACAAAGATCAAAAGAGGCAAAGAAGGACATTACATAACGGTAAAAGGATCAATGCAACAAGAAGAGCTAACGATCCTAAATATATACACACCCAATACAGGAGCACCCAGATACATAAGGCAAGTTCTTAATGACTTATAAAGAGACTTAGATTCCCACACAATAATAGTGGAAGAGTTTAACATCACATGGTCAATATTAGACAGATCAACGAGGCAGAAAATTAACAAGGATATCCAGGACTTGAACTCAGACCCGGAACAAGTAAACTTAATAAACATTTATAGAACTCTCTACCCCAAACCCACAAAACATACATTCTTATCAGTACCACATTACACCTACTTTAAAAGTGACTACGTAATTGGAAGTAAATCACTCCTCAGTAATCGCATAGCATTTCACAGGTTTAAATGAAATATTGGTTGGCTGCTTGTTTGTTATTTTCCTCCCTGATTCCTTCCTGTCTCCATTGTTAAGCACAACTATTGGCATAAAAGAGGTTTTCAATACCCATTTTTAGACTGCATGCTAGCCTGGGCAATAAAGCAAGACTCCTGTTTTCTCTCCCTCTTTCTCTTCCCCTTTCTTTCTTTCTTTCTTTCATTCTTTGTTTCCTTTCTGTCTTTCTTTCTTTCTTTTTTTCTCTCTCTTTTTCTCTCTCTTTAAAAAAAAAAAGAAAGAAAGAAAAGAAATCTCTGCTGAGCAATAACAGCAACCAGAAAGGAGAAGAAGAGGACAAGATGCTAAAAATAAAAACAGATACATCAGGAAAAACAGTCAATTAAGAAATTTTTAAACACTAGAAATGTCAAAGGGTATTTAATAATCTGCATTAAAGATTTGCAAATCACTAAATAGTGTACAGTTATTAGTACTACAGTTATAGTAGCTACAAATCTTCAAGTTATAATTAAATGGAACGAAAAAACAGTTCTCTGTAGGCAGAGTAGGCCATCTACATCTTTGGGTGCTTCACAGTATCTGTTAAAAGTCGATTATTTTAATGAATGGGTGAAATTAGCTTCCTGAAAGCTGCCACAATTTAACAGGACTCGAAGCTTAATTTATGCTTTTTGCAAGCCAAGTTCTCATTGATTTCCAAGTCATTTGTCAGAACATAAGAGGTGGTATGTAGGGAAACAATAATTTGGCTCCTGAGAAATTGTATAATATCCATACCTCATAGGGTATAATGCCCCTCCACTCCTGCTGAAAAATGCCAGACCTGAGTTTGACCCACCTATTATTTAGGGATACACAGACAAGAAAAAATGAGACTAGTAGAATTCTGTCTGCCAAATCTTCAATCTCTAAATTTTACAATTAGAATCTCAATTTGTAATCTAGAGAAAAAAATAATCCAGTACCAGAAAAAAAAAAAAAAAAAAAACCTCTGTGTGCTGGAATATTCATGCCTCTTAGGCTGCTGATGTAGGAAGGGAAAAATATCTTTTCCTTTAACCATTTGAAATTCAGAGCTGAAGCCTCTATAAAAAAAGATTAACCAGAGAAAAACATACTTATTTATTTAAATAAGTTCTACGTCACACAAGGGCCATCATTAGGAAGCGAAGATCAGAAGAAACAGTTAAACTTGAGTGTTTTTAGTAGTAGATTTGAGGAAGAATGGAGAGAGACTTGGAGAAATATGATCAGGCAAAAAGAGTGTTAGATCTTGTTGAAAAATGTGCGCTTTGAACAAAGAGACCTTCTAAACAGGCTTTGTGTGAACAACATGGCTGTTTATTCACCTGGGTGCAGGTGGGCTAAGGCCGAAAAGGGCATTAGCAAAGGGCAGTGGGATAGGAGTTGGTTTTATAGGTTTGCGTAGTTTTTTTGCGGGGCAGGGGTGTTGCTGAGTAAGTTCAGTTATAGTGGTTGGGAGTTAGGGGCAAGGAATATACATGACCACAAGTTCAGTTACAGTGGCAGGGTTGGGTGAGAGGTATTTACATTATCATAAGCAGTTAAAATGGCAGGGTTGGGTGAGGGGCTTGTCGGGGAAGCTCTGTTGGGCGAATGCAGGCAGGGATAGGAGACATTAGCCGAGGCAAGCAGGACTTTAGACTTTCAGGCTCCAGGCTTGCATATGGAGACCTGACAAACCGAGGAAAACTTAGCAAGGCCCATTTGTTCAGATTCTCCTCTGCATCCCTGTGTCTTGGGAGACAGGGAGCCGCCTTTCCTCTGTGGATATAGGAAGAGCACCTCTCACATGAAGGTCCTATGATGTGTTTTAGAGGAAGGCAAGCAAAGATTTTATTACCTGCTTCTGGGGAGAGAGGAGGCAGAGGAAGGTCAGAGTAATCTTTCCACTTAAAATTTGCCATTTTCTCAAATTCCTTCAGCTTAAAAAATCCAGTTTGGCAAGATGCCGTATTTTGGGGTAGCAGGTCCTGAACCCCATCACTGATTATCAAATCTGACCCTGCAGTTAACCCTGTAAATCAACTCAGATAAGCAATTTCAACCATAGAAAATTGACCAGGAGAGTAAGCTCCACTTTAACTCTGGGAAAGCATTTTTATATTTTAATGTTAAAAGCTGCCCTCTTGTCTATATGTGCTTTTAATTGGTATTAATAACTATAATTATTGTTGACATTAATAATGGCTATAACAAATATAAAAGCCAAAAGAATCAAACGAAGCGTTTTGCTATTAAAGTTCTTAAGTATTTTATTTAAATTCATTTTATTTTGGTATCTTTGAATTTTTTAAAAACATCCTGGTGCCAAAAGGTGGCAAGATTCATAAATGCAAACAAACGTATAAACAAACAACTCAGGCACTCTTAAATAATCTGTAAAATAGAAATAATCCACCTGTATAGGAAAAAATTATCAAATCAGCATTTACAATGTGGGCCAATAAAAGAAAGGGTTTTCATACTTGATCCTGTTTTTGGTTCCTCAAAATTAAAATGTTGGCTCCGTTCTGTGCTGTATAATGACAGATTTTTTAAAAACAGAGAGAGTAGGAATTCTCTTGCTGTTTCCATGGGTTTCATCAGCTTGTTTTCCATGACTCATAATGGCTTCTTGCAAAAACTCTTGTTCCCTTGATCTCATGGGTCAAATGAATGCTCTTGAGCTAGTTTTCACCAACCAGCCAGCATTCCTCCTCCTTTCCAACTGCGCATCCTCAGCTGGACCCAAACATTTTCCAGTCTACTCATTCACAGAATAAAATTATGAGTATTCTTCCAAATGGCTCAATCCAAATTGCCCAGGGATATTCTAAAGATTTAATAAAAACAAGAAAATATTATTCACACAAAAATTTTGTTAAGTGTTACTCGAATTAGAATTGGTAGAAAACAGTTTGAAAACCATTTATTAAAACTATGCCTCATAAGACAACCAACAAACATCCTCAAGTCTCTGAGTCAGGGTTCTTTCTGATTTTTTGTGTTATGCCATGGCGCCCCCCGTTACATCGCTAAGAAAACAATGTGCTCAGTGATAAACTTCTCAGCCCAGGACCAAGAAAAGCTAGGGTCTCCTCTAACCTCTGCTGCTACAGTATGTTTGGTGTATTTTCTATATCTATCAAATGAAAGTGTAAGTGTTCATGCAAGTTTCTTTCATTTATAACATTCCATGGTTCTAGCACAGAGACATAGAAATTGGGATTTATTCATTCACTCAACAAACCCTGACTGAACATCTAAATGCTAGGCATCCTGTCCTCTGGAGGTGGAGTGTCTCTATTGTGCTCCCCTAGTCCTTCCCATGTGAATTCCTCTATCATGTTACTTGACAGTCTTTATTGAAATGAGGGACTTTCTAATTTGATTCCTCCACTGACTACATTGTTGTTTTTGCCAATGAGTAGAATTCTCGACATACAGTAGGTGCTCAAAAATCATCTGGTGAATGAACAAAGAGGAACTCTTCAGATGCAAAGATAAGCACCCCAGAATGAAGGACCAGAATGAGAGGTCTCACGTATAATAACGTTCAGTAGTATTTCTCAAGTATAATAATGTTCAGTAATATTTCACTGGCACAATCATATGACTACACTATTTGCTACATAGGAATTTCTGAGCCACAGCAGACCCCGGTTGCACTAAGACCCAAGCACCAAGACGTGCCTCTCTTTAGTCCTGAACACATACAGATCCGTGGCACTTAGTTTCAGTTTGGCATATTGAGCCATCTACCCTGGGTTCCTTTGGGTCCCTCTCCCAATCTGCCCTCCACTTGTTTCCACCCTGCTTGGTGCTGTGGAAAACCAACTTACATAACTGCCTCCACTGGGCTCCAGTGCCCCCTGGCTCTGGTTGGGTTTGGTCAATGGAGATTACTAATGGACTCTCTAGCACATTAGAGGAAGGGAGAAGAGCAAACTTGGGGCTTGTCTGCATAAATGTATGGTATACCTGGGAAATTCTGTTGCATATATATAATGCATAGTGATCAGTGATCCAGGCAGGATATTTAGGGTCTCTGTCACCCAAGCACAATATCCAAGTACAAAAAATGCGAAGATACCAAAATAAAATGAATTATAATAAAGTGAATTACAGTCACCCTACTCGCCTTTCAGACATTTCATTTATTCCTGCTACCTAACTGTACGTTTGTAGCCTTTAATCCATTTCCCTTCATCCTCTCCTCACAACTTACCTTTCCCAGCCTCTGTTCTCTACCTTTCCACTCTACCTCCCTGTGATCATTTGTTTTAGCTCTCACCTACAAGTGGAGAATATGTGATATTTGTCTTTTTGTCCGTGGCTTACTTCACCTGAAATAATGGCCTCCAGTCCCAATCATGTTGCTGCATACGGCATGATTTCATTTTTTACAGCAAATATTTCATTGTGTATATGTACCATGTTGTTTATCCATTCACCTGTTGATGGGCACTTAGGTCGATTCTGTATCTTTGCTATTGTGAATAGTGCTACAATAAACATGTGAGTAGAGGCATCACTTTGCTATATTGATTCATTTTCTTTTTCTTTTCTTTTTTAAGACAGGGTCTCACTTTGCCTCCCAAGCTACTGTGAAGTGACATGAATACAGCTCACTTCAGCCTCAACTTCCCAGGCTCAAGCAATCCTCCTGCCTCAGCCTCTTGAGTAGCTTGGATTTCAGGCACCTGTCACCACTCCTGGCTAATTTTTGTATTTTTTGTAGAGACAGGGCTTCACTATGTTGCCCAGGCTGGTCTGGAACCCCTCAGCTCAAGCAATCTGCCTGCCTCAGCCTCCCAAAGTGCTGGGATTACAGTTGTGAGCCCCCGCACCCAGCCGTAGTTTCTTTTCCTATGGGTAGATACCCAGTAGTGGGATTGCTAAATGGAACAGTAGTTCTATTTTTCGTTTTTTGAGAAATCTCCAGACTGTTTTCTGTAGTGGGTATACTAGTTTACATTCCTACCAACACTGTATGAGTTCCCAAAGTTGGGATCGTTATTTTCTCTTTTCAGGGTGACCCCAGGCTATAGTGTCCCTTGACCAAATATCGCCGCTCCTATCAGACAACCCTCCTCACACATTCTGTGTGTGTGTGTGTGTGTGTGTGTGTGTGTGTGTGTGTGTGTATGTGTGTGTGTGTCTGTGTGTGTGTCTCTGTGTGTGTGTCTGTGTGCAGGCAAACATGTGTGCATGTCTGCCTCTCTCTCTGTTTTTGTCTCTCTGGGTTTCTTTCTCCTTTAGTCTTAAAGACAGTAGCAGGGCCCCCCCATCCCTAGTCTCGGGGTTCTGCATTCTTTCTTTTTGATTTTCCCACACCCTGACTTAATATGCCCTTCATGGCTGGGCACGGTGGCTCACACCTGTAATCCCAGTACTTTGGGAGGCCGAGGCAGGCGGATCACCTGAGGTCGGGAGTTGAAGACCAGCCTGACCAGTATGGAAAAACCCCATCTCTACTAAAAATACAAAAATTAGCCAGGCATGGTGGCACATGCCTGCAATCTCAGATACTCAGGAGGCTGAGGCAGGAGAATCATTTGAACCCAGGAGGTGGAGGTTGCAGTGGGCCAAGATCGTGCCACCGCACTCCAGCCTGGACAAGAGTGAAACTCCGTCTCAAAACAAAATTTTTTAAAATGCCCTTCATTAAACTCTTCTCAAATTATTCAATTTGAGTACAATATCAATTTCCTGATAGGACCTTGACTGATAACCACCCATGTATTCTGAAGAGTAAATGATATGACCAATTATCACAAAGCACAACAATGGGGGGGTGCTAGTTTCCCTCCCCTTCCCTGTTATAATTTTTACACCCCCTACAATGGCTATTCCTAGTGCCTTTAACATCATTGCTACTTAAAAAAAGATTTGATGAATGAATTAAAAACATTTCAACACTTTTGACCATGCTTTTAGACTTAAATACATCGAAATCCATGTACGTTAATTTCGATTATCAGATGTTACATTTAGAGAAGTTTTTATTTCAATAATTGGGGAGCAGGTAGTTTGCTTTACACATCTCATTCTCTATTTTCTCATAGTCTGACTAAATTATGACTCAACTCCAGGAAAAACAGGGCCAAGGGATAAGCTAACATCTCAGGAGCAGTTTAAAAGACTAAGAGATTAGTTTAACAGACTAAGACATCCATCTACTGATCCTTCCTAGATGCTGGAGAAAATAGTGATTTTATTTCATGTCATCTAATTCATGTGAACTGACTTTGCAAATTCATCACTTTCTACCTCCTGCCAGAGAGAAATGGAGTTGGGGATAGACTGTGCCTCCTCGAATCTATCTGTTTTTATAATGAATAAAGTCGAACAAAGCCAAATCATCACTCACCGTGTATATTGATCTTTGTGATGCACTGTGAAAGTAACTTCTAGTTCCGGTATTGGGGGAAGCACTTCCTGGATCTGATTCAAGGGTAGCCTCTGCATGGTCTCTGCTATTTAGGAAGGAGAACTGTTTTAGTCTATATTTAGTAAATAGCAAAAAGAGACAAGCATCTTCAAATGCAGTGAATGTGGTAAGAGAACCAGGCTCTACATCTAGAAAGGATTTTGGCACTTTCCATGCTCATTAAATTTCCTGCCTACCTCTCTAACGCCTTCACCCATTTCTCTCAACTTCTCACCCCATGTCCTAGGCACAAAGACCTGAAGCATACTTAAAGAAGACAATGCAGAGAGCAAATTTAAAGTCCAGTGTCTCATAATCATCTTCTTTGAGAAAAAAACAAAGAAAAAGAAAGTCCTGTGTCAAGTAGCAAGCAAAGAATCTTAGTTTGGAAACTGACTGCAAACATTTTATTCTATCACATTTTGTTGAAATATGTCCCTAAGGAGAATATTAATGATGTCTTTGATCTCAGGGACGATTTTACCAAGAAGCAAAGTTACAAATTATATGAATTCTAATCTGTCTTCCTGCTCATGACTGTGTGACTTTATAAAATTCTTCTAATATCCTCAGCTGACTTCAAGGTGGAAGATGAAACTTTATTTCCTACATCGTGGCATCTCTTTCATTCTCCTGAGATCCATGGTCTTGTTTTTCTAGCTTTTATATTGAGAATTAAATTTTTGTTTCATAGACATCTCTACTTTTGATATGAAGCCCTGAACGCAGGTGACAATGAGGTGTCCTACAATTGAAAGAGAAGTTTGGATGGTTCCTTCTTAAGAAGAGAAACCAGAAAGGGGGATTTAGGTGTATTTGAGAAAACGATGCTTCTTATCCATGAAGATGATCAAACACTGGTACAGAAATACTGTAGAACCTTCTCTGGGAATTTATTTATTTATTTATGTTTTAAGACAGAGGTTGCTCTGTCGCCCAGGTTGGAGTATAATGGCACAATCTTGGCTCACTACAATCCCGCCTCCGGGGTTCAAGTGGTTCTCCTGCCTCAGCCTCCTGAGTAGCTGGGACTACAGGCAATGCGCCACTGCGCTCAGCTAATTTTTTTTGTATTTTTAGTAGAGATGGGTTTTACCATGTTGGCCAGGCTGGTCTCAAACTCCTGACCTCAAACTCCTGATCCGCCTGCCTTGGCCTCCCAAAGTGTTGGATTTACAGGCATGAGCCACTGTGTCCGGCCATGAAGGACATATTAAGCAGAAAAGCACAGCAGAAAAGAAATAAGACACATCACACCCAAGTCAAGAAAGCACCATCAACGTCAGAATCATAAGCCATTGTTCCAGGATCAAGCCCTACCAAATTAAAGCTAAGAAAATTCAGTCTATCTACCTTTTCTTTTTCTTTTCTTCCCCTAACTACTCCCCATCTTATTATTAATGTAATTAGACCTAACTCACCTCAGGTTACTACTTTTGATGCCTGTTTAGTTATGCCTTGTAAAGATTTACATAACCAAAGACAGCTTACTACTTCAGAAAAATATCTCTGTCCCTCTTAGACTTCCTCAGACTAAGAAGACATATTAAGTTCCTATAAAGATACTAGTAATACAAAGAATAGTAGCTGTATTAATTAATAAGAATCAGACTCTCGTCCCTCTAAAACAGTATCTCTGTGTTCTGCTTAGTCTAATGTCCTATAGAACACTAAAAGTTTAAGATAGACTGCTTCCAAGAGTCTTTGTCAGTCTTTATAACCATATACCCATTTCACCAAAAGAATTACTCCTTCTAGCTGTCAATATAATATAATCCTATACAGCTTACTATTGTTATTGCAACATCTAAAAAGTCTTCCCCTTCATTAAGTTGTATTTACCTAAGGCAAACCATAGCAATTAAGACAAAGTATCAAGATGTAAATGCATGACTAGAATAAATATTCCATCCACACTGTAAATAAAAGCGATTGTTATACTTGTGCACACAGTAAGCCAGAAACCCAAATTGTCCCCTTTCCACTCAGATATTCCTCTAATCAACAAAACAAAGACTGCATAGTAGCTCTTTTCAAAATCCTACAGCCTAAGATAATCAACTGTGCCAAACTCTCTCTCTACTATATGCTGTAAGTCAGCCCCCGAAGCCCATCCAGCCTCCATCTTCTAAGACCAATTTTACCTCATGTCTCCAAAAACAAGAAGAAAATTTAGCATTCCTTAAAGACTTAACAAGATGCAGTGAAGTCAAGCACTTCCAAGAGCTGACCCAACAGTCCACCCTTATTCATCCGCAAGCAGATGTACAGTAGTATTGTAGAGAACCTTTACTAGACACTCTGCCAAATAATCAGAGCAGTACTTGTGCGCTAGTTCAATTAGCTATCCTTTTTAGCCTAGCATTTCACCAGCTAGAAAAAAAAAAAAAAACAGCTCTTACTAAAGCCTCCCTTAACTTTCCTCCATCTTATCCAGAGAAGCTTTTTCTTTTAAAGATTCAGGCAGAACAACTGAGCCAAGATATGTTTTAAAAGTTTGAAGAAGAAAACTATGAAGTCAAAGAGGAAACTGTAGAAAGTAAAAAGTTGCTCTTCAAAGTTTCCCTTCCTGTTAAAGAATAATAATAAATGTTAGAAATAATAGTATCTTTTAAAGGCTTTCTTCAAGCTTTCTTGCCTTTGCTAGTAACTCTTTGTTAAGCCCTATCCTATGTAACTGCTAGAAATAAAAGAATAAGTGCATTCTATGTCCTTGTACTTTAATCAAGATATTTGTGCTAGCCGTGCTCACAGGCACGTAGTACATTCTATGTCCTCGAACTTTAACCAAGATATTTATGTTATTATTTTTCTAAGTCCTTTCACAAGCAACTTCCTTTCCCTTCCTTACATAGACTTCCTCTTTTCCTTTTACTCTCCATTGCCTTTACCTATTCAGAAAAGTTTTAAGTTGTTAGCTAGTCAAGTTTAGTTTAGATTGTAAAGTCCAGCTCTCACCAATGGAGATCAGACACAGCAGTAAAGACCCAACACATTAATAATAAATATGCCTGCGTTTCCTTTGTTCATTGTACTCTTGTAGCAAATGGCTGACAAGCAGTACCCTTTCTGCAGCAAGTAAAATTGCCTTGCAAGAAACCTTTTTGTCTGAATGCTAATTTTTCCTTGCAGTACCTACGAACAAGCATTCTGTCTCTAATAGTGATTGACAGACCCTTGGCCTGAAAATCAACAGAGGTAGTTATTTAAAATGCATGTTGCAGATCTATTGGATTAAGAATCTCTCTTCATAGAAGCCTAGAAGCCTGAATTTTTATAGACATCCAAGTTGATTCCAATGCACATTAAAACTTCAGAATGAACTTACCATGCAAATAATTGCTCAGACAATCTTAGATAAAGCATCTTATAATCCACAGTTTGAGATTTGAAATTGTTCTTTTGTCGTTGTTGTTTGTTTTGTTTTGTTTTTGAGACAGAGTCTCGCTGTATTGCCCAGGCTGGAGTGCAGTGGCACCATCTCAGCTCACTACAGCCTCCACCTCCCAGGTTCAAGCAATTCTCCCACCTCAGCCTCCTGAGCAGCTGGGACTACAGGTGTGTACTACCACACCCGGCTAATTTTTGTATTTTTAGTAGAGACGGGGTTTCACCATGTTGGCCAGACTGGTCTCGAACTCCTGGCCTCAAGTGATCTGTCCACCTCAGCCTCCCAAAATGCTAGGATTACAGACTTGGGGGACTGCACCCAGCTGAGATCATTCTTTATAAAGGTTAAGATATTGCTCACACCTGTAATCCCAGCACTTTGGGAGGCCAAGATGGGTGGATCATCTGAAGTCAGGTGTTCAGGACCAATCTGGCCAACATGGTGAAACCCCGTCTCTACTAAAAATACAAAAATTAGGTGTGATGGTGGGCACCTGTAATCTCAGCTACTTGGAGGCTGAGGCAGGAGAACTGCCCGAACCAGGAGGCACAGCCTGGGCAATAACAGTGAGACTCCGTCTCCAAAAAA